TTTGCTCCACCCCCTGCTTTCCTCATGCCCACCCCGCTTTACTGCCTCTTCTCCCGGCACCCACTCCTCCTCTCTCCCCTTCCTCTCTCTTGCCCCCGCATTACCCCTCCCCTCTTGCACTCCCACTGACACCTTCCCATTCTCCTCACTCCCACTCCTCCTGCCCTTTCCCCTCATTGCCTCCTCTTGGCCCCCTGGCATTTGTCTCTCCTCCACCCTGCCCACTGGTGCCTTTCCCTTTCTTCTCCTGCTCTGCATCCCCCTCTTCCCTCAGTACAAGCCTCTTCCTCTCCTTACCCCCACCTTCCCTTTAGTTATCCCCCTGCCCCTTCCCTTCCCTTCTGCCATCCTGACACCTAGGCAGCATGGTGAGCAGCTGCCCTGTGTGCTAGGGCTGAAGCCAGGGCTGTGGTGCTACCCTGGCCCAGGAGCAACTTCTCCATGTCCCAGCTCTAGTCCTGGCACACGGGGCAGCCACCTGCCATACAGCCCAGCCCTGGGAGCTGCTGGGGCCAGGACTGCAGTACTAAAAATAGCACGGTGGTCCTGGTTCCAGTCCCAGCACACGGGGGCAGCATGCTCTGTGTGCCAGGACGCGAGCTGGAGCTGCAGTGCTATTTTTAGTACTGTGGTCCTACCACCATGCAGCTGCGACCCCAGCTGCTCCCAGGGGCTGGATCACATGGCAGGTGGCTGCCCTATTTGCTGGGATTGAAGCTGAGCCATGACCCAGCTGCTCCCAGGTGCTGGACCACACTGTGGGCAGCTGCCTAGTGAGCTGGAACTGGAGCCCGGCCATGGTGCTATTTTTAGTACCATGGCCCAGGCTCTGGCTCCGGCAGCTGCCATGCAGGCTGCGTGGTGACTGCCCAGCTGTTCCTGGGGTGGCCCCAGCCCTGGGAGCAGCTGGGGTTACAGCTGTACGGCTCTGCTCTGGAGGTGGGTGGGAATGAAATTCTTGGTGTGTGCCCATGCTGGCATGCACTTTACAGGGAACCCTGGCTCACAGTCCTATATTGGGTAACCATTAGAGAGGATGAATGATTGCTTATTACTGTTAGGGTTGCCAGATGGTTGAATCAAAAATACTGAAATCCCTCTCCCCCCCAAAAAAAACACCGGGTAAAAAATTCTGTTGAAGAAAAAAAACAGGGGGGGAGGGCGGGGAGACCAAAGTTGTTGAGCAATAAACAAAAAGGACTCCCAAGACTTATTAAGAAAAAAAAATATTAAAGCAGCATGGCCCCTTTCAGAGTGAGTGCAGAGTTAGAATAGGGATAGGAACAGGGGAGCCGTTGAGCACTAAGACCCAGGGAAAGCATTGCTTCCCCTTGGTCTTTAGGCTTTTTGCCGGTGGCCATTTTGTGTTCTTGTTCAAGCCAGAACTTAGCTTCTCTGTGGAACCCGGTAAGCGCGGGGGGTCGGGGGGCGGGGGGTGTTGGGGGCCGCAGTGGGAGGCCGGATGCTGAGTGTTTGTAGGGTTGCCAGGTGTCTGGTAATTTTGGCCTCCTGGCCAGGAAAAAAAATCAGAAAATACCAGATATTGTAGGTGTCCGGTATTTTCTGAAGTTTTTTACTGGACAGGAGCTGAAAATACCGGACTGTCTGGGTCAATACCGGACACCTGGCAACCCTACCCACCTAGTCATCTACAAGAACCATTGTACCCATGGGAAAGGCCACCCTTCCACTGTTATAGAGGCAAGCAAACAACTTCCCATTAAAGTTTTGCCATTGACTTGAAGCATAATTTCATCCTGTGTATTTTGTACACTCTGTTTCTGATGTTATATGTTTTGATTATGTAATTGCCCAGCATGTCAAGTGTGTACTGCAAATAAAATGGTAAATAGAATTCAGAAGAGTATAATTGATTTAAAAATATGTGGAGTAGGGAGGTGCTTTGGCTGAAGAAACTGCATAACCCCCACATTCATGTTGCTTGGGAAGTAATTAGAGGGTTTGTAATCTTCAACCAGTTTGATTACAGCTTTTATTCATGATACTTTGCAACAAGTGTATAGACCATAAATAACATTTGAAAGATATGAGGTTATGCAGAGATAATTACACATCTGAATTACATTGGCACAGAGCCAAAGGCCAAGAACCTTCCACCATCCCTTCTGAATTGTATAGTGTCACTTTATGAAATGCATTATGGCTCTCATGGAATGTTTTTATTGCTCCAGAAGGGCAAATTAAAGGTAATAAAATACTGCTTCTGATAACCACTCACCACAACTATTTTTTATTTTCTGAAGCCTTCTTGTGTAGTCTCACTCCTTGGTGTGTGCATCTATATCTATATCTATATATATGAGAGAGAGAGAGATGGATACTTACATTTGGTGTTTCTACGATTTTGAAAGATTTTACCCTGTGAGAGGGATTTTCTTTAGATATAATGGCTTGTTCCAGAAGAACCAGGCAAGCAGGGCAAAACTTTAAGTATAATCTCTGTTTCATTCCTTGCAGCTAATCTCTATCATTGCAAAAAAAAAAAAAAAAAAAAATTCAGTTGAATAGCATGTTCAGGTGACAAAAAATGCCAGAAATAAAGGTATATTTTGTTCAGCAGCATAAGAATCCTGCTGTGGGCAGAATGCAGTTTCAGCTGCTTCTTGTTCTTCATGTGACAGTCAGCAAAATTCATTATGTGAATAGGAAACAAAGAGTTATCTTAAAGTACTTCATTCAGGGGTCATGCTGTGTTGGGGAAAGTGATGATATTGTCTCAAGTTCTGCCCACAAACCAAGCCACTCTACTTATGATAGCTGTAAGAGATGCTACTCACAGGAGATTATGCAGAACTTCATACCCCTTCTTTGTAATGTTTTTTTCTGTTATCTGTAGTAAAACTGTTAACAATGTTGATATTAATAGAATTCAGAATCTATATCCCATTAACATGACAAGAGCAGCTCACACCTTTTTCAGCCAATGTGCCAGGATGTCTAAAGACTCAAGAAGTCAGAGATAACTTAGGGTATGTCTATTTTACATTTCAAATTTCATTCTTGAAATCAAGAGCATGTCTGCTTTCAAAATCTTATTGTAGTCAAACATGTTTGTGAAGAGTTGAGTTAACTTAAATCACAATGAATATGACCGATGGTCAGTATAGACCAGGACCAATCATGTTCAGCACCATGTGAGCTAGTTGTGATCAGACTATGGTTCCAAAGAATTAACATAAGAACGTAAGAATGGCCATAGGTCCATCAACCCACTATCCTGTCTTCCAACAGTGGCCAGTGCAAGATGCCCCAGAGGGAATGAACAGAACAGTCAATCATCATGTTTACAAACATTTCTTTTGCTACATTTTTCCTACTCTTAATCAAGTAAATCAGCAGTATACAGAATTTGGTAATTAGCTATTGGACCATTACTTTTTAAAAAATAGCAATATTAGAAAAAGTCATATTGCCAAAACTGGAGTTATTAACCCCATTCATCAACAACATGACCAATGTATTCTAATTCTCTGCTTCCTTGGAATTACAAACAAGAAATTCTTCTCTTTGCCTCATGCCTTTACCTATTAATTTCATTTGGTGTTTCCTATTTCAAAACATGGTTTTCTCCTATGCTGGTCAAAACTTGGAAATTCAATTGTGTGGGAAACTCTGAGTTTTTTGAATTTGTTGTTGTTCCAAAAAAAGTCCCAGTCTTTTTAATCTCTCTTCATATGTGACCCGTTCCATTTTTGTTGCCCTTTTCTAAACCTTTTCCAATGCCAATATACATTTTTTGAGATAAGGTGACCACATCTATACACAGTATTTAAGATGTGAGTGCACCATGGTTTTATATAGAGGCAATAAGATGTTATCTGTCTTATTCTCTATCCCCTTTTAAACGACACCTAACATTCTGTTTGCTTTTTTTGACTGCCGCTGCGCACTGAGTGGATGTTTTCAGAGAACTATCCACAATGACTCCAAGATCTCTCTCCTGAGCAGTTGTAGCTAAATTAGTCCCCATCATATTACACACTGAATGTGTGGTACATAAAATCAAAGAGTTGAAGTGATAGCATGACACCTTTTGGGCCCAAAAAATGTCTTGCTGTAGGATGGTATCCTAATGTGGGTTGCATGTCTCATCATCATGAGGATTCTCATGAGGATGTAGACTCCTTGCAGATGAGTGCCCCATGAATCAGTCTGTGTTTAGATTGGGGTGGCCAAACTGTGGCTCTCAAGCCATATATGGCTCTTTTAATCATTAAAGTGTGACATGCAGAGTCTCCCCAATGAATCTCTCATTTTCCACCTACCAAACTAGGAGTGAGGAGGAGCTGGTGAACTCTTCCTTGCAGCATAGTGGCGTGGTAGGCGCCTATGCCCAGCAAGGAGGGGGGCGGTCCTCAGAGCTTCAGCCCTAGGGGGTATACCTGCTGGGGTTTGGGGCTTAAGCAGGAGCTGAAACCCAATGCCTCATCTGGCACCTCCCATGGGGCTGAAGTCCTGAGACCCAGCAGGTGTGCTCTGGCTTTTGAGCATCTGACAACTGTGATTTGTAGCTCGGAGGGTCAGGTCCATAATGTAGTCTGGCTGGATATGTAGTTTGTGTCCATTGTTGCAGTCTTATTACACTACCAAAACTTCTGTGACTGCCAGCTGTGTAGCAATGTTCTTTGGTAAACATGCTTTGAAACCTGTGGGTCTTACATAAGAACGGCTATACTGGGTCAGACCAAAGGTCCAGCTTGACCAGTATCCTGTCTGCTAACAGTGGCCAATACCAGATGCCCCAAAGGGAGTGACCAGAACAGGGAATCATCAAGTGATCTTTTTGTCACCCATTTCCAGCCTCTGACAAACAGAGGCTAGGGACACCATTCTTACCTATCCTGGCTAATACCCATTGATGGACCTAACCTCCATGATTAGGTCTTCCATCCTAATAATATGTTGGACTGTATGAAATACTGTAAATACAATCATTAATATTTTATTTTTCTCACCACTTACATATTTTCTCTTGTAAGGTCATTGACATGCCTGAACACAATCCTGGAGATATGGGAGGAACAATGAGACTGGGGAAAAGGAGGACTATTTTCAAAACAGAAGACTCTGTCTTAAGTAAGTTTCTTCTTTCCTGTTTGATTTTCTCTGAGGATAAAAAATGCCATCTGTCTCATATTTAAAGGCCTAAATAGAATTGTGCCAAACATGTTCTTGCCTCTCCTTACACACCATGCAGTCCACATTTACAATGTTTCCTACCCTGAAAAGCAACTGTCACAAATGGCATTTTTTATTCATCTGATTAGTTCCCGGGGTGCATCTTTTTAATATCTATAAACAGCATCTACTAAAAACAGATTAACGGCCCTTTCTGCCCTCTCTGCCTATTTGAAGGGCATGCTTGATGAACCACCCACTAGCAGAGAGCATCTGTGGGGCAGATACACATCTTCTCACTCTCTCCCCACTTTCTTTTCTCTCCTCTAAGCACCAAATTAAATGGTCACAGTGAGAGGAGCTGGCACAGACTGGCGGCTTTGCAGGCAGCAGTGGAAGGATAGAAAGCTCAGTGCTCTAGGCTGCCTTCAGCATGTTTGCTCTCCAAGTGTGCTTCTCTCTCCAGAAGGATGGGCTACCCTAGATACCCTCCCCATGCCAGATTTTTTGCAAAGACACAAGCGTTCTTCACTGTACAGCACAGGCAGCTGCTACTGCCTGTCTTTTGTGATGATACACCCATGGAACTCTGTCCGCAAGCTGGGACTTCCAGCATAAAAAATGGATTGGTCACTAAGAAAGACATAAAACCTCCTCGTTTTTGCAATTTTATTTTTTTTAATTGTTTGGTTAATTATGCGACATGACCTTCAGGTTTTCAGAGTGTGGCATCGGTGTTTCCAGCCACTTCTTAAACTGTGGACTGATGATCATCCTTGCCTCTTACAGTAATAACCCTGTCTATTTCTGTGGTCAGCTTACCAGAAGCACAAAGAGGGGAAAACAAAATATTGAGGCCAAATCTACCCTTGGATTCTGGCTTGCAGCTCCACTGAAGCCAATAGAAATAGTGAATGAAATTCTAAGGGTAGAGCTTTAGCCATAGATTTATTTGTCATATACTACCCACCCCAGAGGGTGGCAAGAAAAAAAATCACTTGGGAACTTCTGCATCATTATTCCTTTAAAATAAATATTAGTAATTCATAAGTTCAATGTAACTTCAATGTTGCCCTTCCTGGAATAATAGTCCACATTTTTACTAATGGGCATTTACACCATCAAGATCCCTGACATTATATTTCTTTGATGCTTAACAAAAGTTATTTGTCCAGGCTTGCATCTCACAGCCAATACCGAATCCCCTATATTTACTGCCTTGGAAGCTGAAGCATACTTGGATGTGTGGTAGCCAACATGCTCCACATCCATTTCCAATGCTCTGAGCGTGGATTTAATCAAGTCCTGTTCATTCTAGCCTGAGTTCTAGGACA